ATATAAAGTTACATAGCCCGTATTGAAAGTATACAGAAAAAAATTATGAGACACCTCGACTTCAAGGCACAAAAAAACTCAGCGAATTATCTTGAAAGATGTAGGAGATATCATTTTTGCCGTTGGAATATAGACGTAAAGTTAATGATATTTGTTTCTTAGTTAATATAGTAAATGGATCTATCCCTCTGAGCTATTTACTCACGTAATGATTCTGACCGATTTAATGAAATTTAGACAGCGACCCTTGCTATATATATTGATTCAATTTTTTTTGGTTAATGTTTTTGCGTTTTTTTTTTGTAATTGTTTTTGTAATAGTTTAAGTATTCCCTGGAGTATTTTAAATTTGTATAAAGTTGGATGAAAGTAATTTGTGGAGGCTTGTAATTAGCAATTTTTATCACCATTTTGTAACTTTACGAAGATATTAGTCTGTAAGCCTTCCTAAAAGGAATAAATAAATAAATAAATTATTTCTATAAACGACCGACCTAAATCTACTAACAATCGGATGATATTGTTTGCGGATGACTGTAGTTATTTATAATAATGAAAACATCATAAATGTGAGCTTAAAGTCGATAATTGAGTGGTTACAAAACAATAATTTCATAATAAATATAGATAAAACAAATAATACAATCCAAACAAAAACTAATCAATTTTAATACACAAATTCAGTATAATGACAAATAAATCCAAATAACAACAACAACAAAAATTTTTCGCATTCACATTGATGAATATCTGAAATGGCCAAGCCATATAGAATTAGTATGCAAAAAAAAAGTATCAGTCGTCGATTATGCTAGCAAAAAAAGTCAGTGTCCCAACACATTACTTATCTATTTTTGTTATCATGGTTGTGTTGCGTCCAGGCTTAGATATGCAATAATCTTTTGGGGAAAGGCCACAAACTTGGATAAAGTGTTGGTGTACTTATACGTACTGTGTGGTTTAAAAAGAACTGATAGCTGTAAGGATAATTTCATTAAATGAAAATTACTAATCGTACCATCACTATACATATTTGAAATGGCTTTATTTTTCAGACAATATCCATCACTATTTAAACTAGAGATTTTGAGATGTCGCAATAGAAGCAGATTATAATATAACAGAATATATAACTTACCCTGAATGTGAAAAGTGTGTTTGCTACGGCTCCAAAGATATACAATAAGATTACGAATAATGGTGGAGCGTTGAGCCTAAGGTCGCCGAAATCTAATTCCCCGGTCGAACCTTAAAACCCATTACGCGAGCTATTAATCTAAGTGGACTATATCTACAAAATGTTTCTACACTTATATAAACGGCAACTATAGCATGCGGTACAATGCACTCGCTCTTCCCTAAAAAACGAACTATTATTTGCCAAATCGATGAAAGGAATCCTGCTTGATTAGGAGAAAACAAAATTGGAGCGGGTTAAAATACAATTATATCAAGCCGGTGAGTCAATATTATTAGGAATATTGACTCACCGGGGTGTCTTCTATGCTGTTGGGCACTATAGCTGCGACTTCTGGAACTTCTTCTGGACAGACACTCTGGAGAGAGGCGGTGCGCGACTATATCTCACACGAGGTGAGGCGGGTTTCCTGGAGCTTGACTGCTTCCAGGCTAAAGCGGTTATACTAGCGGTGTGGTTCCAACAATGAGCGCGGCGGGAAGAGAGCGCGCGTCGGTCGCGCGTGCCTTTTATATCTTCGGTTGCGATGATTACGTGATATTCTAGAATCATCTTCTTTTCCCCTCCCACCCCACCACCACGTTGTGTCGATAGGAGGGTATGAATGATATCGTTTTGGAAAGGGATAACCGATTTGGCAGCCTACCGTCAAATTAAATAAATACGAATGGTTTTCCGCGCAACCATCTCCCCCGCCCTTGAAGGATTTCCTTCAAAAAATAACTAAAACAACTAGAGCTAAGATCAAACTAACAAAATAACTAACTAACGCTAAGATTACCTAAATTCAACTACAATTTCTAATCTAGAAAGCTAATTTAAATTATGGAAGAGGCAGGGGGCACAAACGGACAACAGGACGCAGGTAAGACCCAACCGTGGTCTTAACGCGAGCTACCCTAATTACTCCGTCGGAACCGGGAAAGATCTCTTTGACAATTCCTAGCGGCCAGTGGAGAGGCGGCGTATTCTATTTGGTAAGCACAACTACAGTTCCTACAGCTAAAGGCTCAGTTGCTGTGTTCCATTTTTGCCGATACTGCAAAGTATGCAAGTATTCCATCCTCCATCGTTCCAAAATGATTGCACTAACCGGTCTAATAATTTGTGGCGTGCGGAAATGCTAAGTCTGTTCTCATCCATATCTACGGCGGGCAAATACTTTAAAGGCGTTAAATTTAAAAAATGTGCTGGAGTTAGAGCCAGCGGTTCCGAGGGGTCACTAGACAACGTACGACAAAGTGGGCGGCTATTCATTACGCATTCGATTTGAGCGAGCACCGTACTTAGCTCTTCGAAGGACAAAATTTGATCTCCTATTACTCGGTATAAGTGACTCTTTAGACTCTTAATATTAGTCTCCCAATTGCCCCCAAAATGACTCGCGTCTGGGACGTTCAGAGACCACTCAATGCGGTTCTCGGCTAGAATGTGAGCGATCTCCGAATTATAATACTTGCTAGCTAAGAGTTCATGTAGTTCTGATAAAATACGTTTTGCACCGACGTAGTTCGTACCGTTATCCGAATATAATTTACTTACAGGGCCACGGCGGGATAGAAATCTTTTAAATGCACCCATAAAGCCTGCTGTGCTTAGATCACCAACGAGTTCTATATGCACCGCTCGAGTAGTTAGACATACGAAAATGCAGACGTAAGCCTTTGTGGATCTTATACCACGCCCGCGAGTGAGCGTGACCTTAAACGGACCAGCGAAATCAGACCCGGTGTGCGTAAAGGGCTTTACTGATTGTAAAGTAAAGTAAAAGTAAAATATACTTTATTGTACACCAAGGAACATATTACATTATTTATATATTTAAAGGGACATTGGTACAACAGGCGGCCTTATCGCTAAAACAGCGATCTCTTCCAGGCAACCTTAGGGCAGAGGATACTATTTTAAAAGATAGCGGAAGGGGTGTACAGAATATGATAAAGAAAGATAAATAGAAGAACATAAATGATTAAAGAAGAAAAAAAAATGAATGACGACAGGTAGTAACTTAAGAGGAAAGGTAATAAAGTTTTAATTTATTTTTAAATATAGGAAGAGATTTAGATTTTTTAATATGTAAGGGGAGAGAATTCCATAGTCGTATAGCGGTAACCGTAAAAGAATTAGAATAGAAGGAAGAGGAATGACTAGGGGTACTTAGAAGGAGGTTATTTTGAGATCGTAGAGGTAAAGAGTGTAAACTACTTAAATATATAAATCGGTCTTTCAAATAAGAAGGAGTGGTCGGGTTGAACAGAATGCAGTAAAGAAGATGAAGAATGTGAGTATTCCTGCGAAGACGAATCGGGAGCCACTTGAGCTTATGGCGGAATTCGGATATGTGGTCATACTTTCGTAACCCAAATATAAACCTTATGCAATAATTTTGAAGCCGCTCAAGTTTATTAAGTTGCTCGTATGTTAGGTCAAGATAACAAGTGTCCGCGTAGTCAAGGATCGGTAAAAGAAGAGACTGAGCTGATTGTATTACTCTACAAGATCTAAGTTCCGCTATTTCCGGAAATGACGGCTTGGGGGGGTGCCCGAAAGCAAGCTATACATCTGTGCACCCGATTGCGTATTAAACTACGTGCAGAAAGAATCCAATAATTCTGACGCAAGATCGACATCAGCAAGTCGGGGCCAGCGTGCGAATTCAATTTATGATGGTAATCCATTAATAAATTCATGATATGGTCCTTGCGCGGTAAAACTATAGGGTGCCGTTGGTCGAAACTCAACTGCGAGTTGGACAAGCGTCCACCTACCCTTACAATCCCATCCTGTAAAAATGGCTTAAGGCGTTGAAAGGCGCGACTACAAGCTCTATTCGATTGTAATCTTGTAATTTCTTCAGAGAAGTGTGCACGTTGAAGTTCACGTAATACTAGCGACTCGGCATAGTTGTAATCGGACGCTAAGACATACGAACGTCGCGGTAAAAGCTTCGCGAATCGACAAACGTAAATTATGCTACGCAATAATTTCGACCAAGAGGACAAGCGGTTCGCCAAAGCAATGATTGGAGAAACCTCGCTCGAAACGTTTGCCACTAGAGCGTGTCTCTTCTCTTCCGGCGGTTGTGACACTGACGAAGGTTCGAAATCGGTTATTGGCCATTGCGAGGGATCAAAGTGAACCCAAGAAGGTCCGTGGAACTAAAGCGGGTGGTCCATTATTTGCATCGGGGTGAGTCCACGGGATAGACAATCGGCAGGGTTTTCCGTACCGGACACGTGGTAAGTTCCGCGTTTCAAACTCGTCTTGGATCTTGGCCACTCGGTTCTCGACAAACGTATCCCGGAAAAGGCAAATATCCTTTCTATGTGAACTCTATCCCTACATGCGCTAATAACTGCGGTAATAAGCTTGGTGAGTACTAATATTGCGCAAAGCTCTAAGCGCGCCAGAGAGACAACCTTATGGGGGGAGACTCTCGATTTAGAACTAATGAGGCTAATCGAATTTCTACCACTATTCTGAACGTGGAAATATACAACGCCTCCGTAAGCCTTCTCGCTGGCGTCTGCAAACCCAACGACCGTTATGACGCTATTTCTATCGAAGTTTATATGACGCGGTATTTTAATTTCTCTTAGTAAAGGAAGTTCCTCTCTAAAATGCTGCCACAACCGAACAATGCTGTCAGGCGGCGAATCATCCTAATCGCATTCAAATAACCAAAGTTGTTTATTCAAAAGCTTAGCGTATAATACCACCGGAGCTACGAAACCCATGACATCCCATAATCTAGCAACGCATGACAGTATTGTGCGCTTTGTGCATTTCTCTACGGGCGGATTTACCTTAAGGCTAAACACGTCGGACTCTTTGACCAACACAGACCGAGCACCTTGTGTGTATCAGAATCATCGAATTCCTTTATGGCCGAAAGACGGTGTGATAGTGGGATTGTATCTAAAACCGGACGCGAATTACTAGTCCACTTCACAAGATCGAATTGACCTGATTTCATGAGCCTCATAACCTCGGCGGTGCTTAGGGTGGCCTCCTCCACGCTATCGACCGAGTATACAAAATCATCCATATATAAACCGCTCTCAATTGCCCTCTTAGCTTTAGGGTAAGAGGGACCTTCATCGTGGGCGAGCTGTTTCACCGTGCGTAACGCATGAAATGGGCTCGACTTTAAACCAAAACAAACGCGGTTAAATTCAAACACCATTAGAGGTTCCTTTGGGTTGAAACGATATAAAATGCGTTAGAATCTACGGTCGCATTCACGGACCCCTATGCAAAGAAACATTTGGCGAATATCGGCGGATAGTGCTATACTAAACAAACGAAAATTGGCTATTATATTAAATAAACTGCCCTGTAAATTTTGCCCACTATAGAGGATATCGTTAAGCGACAGGTGCGTGCTAGTTTTAGCAGTAGCGTCGAGCACTACACGTAACTTAGATGTAAGTTTGTCCTCCCTAATGACCCCGTGGTGTGGTATGAAATACGACGGTGTGTCTTCGTAATTATCTAATTTCGAAACCACGAGTGATATGTAACCTTCTCTTATATATTCGTTAATGACGCCGTCATAAGCTTCCTTTAACTGGGGTGAAGCGAGCATCCTACGCTCCAAGCTGTAGAAACGTTTTTCCGCCATTTTACGCGAATCGCCGAGAGATAAAACATCTCCTTTAAAGGGCAGCGCTACACTATATCTACCGTCGCGATCACGAACGGTCGTGCGGACGTAAATTTCCTCGCATAATCTGTCATCTGAGCTAGCTATGGGTGGGAGGTTCACCTCCTCCATCTCCCACAATTTGCGGACTAACGACTCGAGCGGTTCGACAGCCATACCACAATAAGAGGTTGCCGAAATACTATCTATGATGGGGGCGGAGCCAACGATAACATAGCCCAATACGGTTTCCAGTGCGTAAGGCGCGGTATGCGAGGAGTTGCCCCTGACCTTATTGTTTAACAAAAGATGAGGGAAAAGCGATGCTCCAATGAGCATGTCTATGTTTCCAGGAACGGCGTAAGTGTCGTCCGCTAGAGTCAAATTTTTAAATTCAATCATTGCCGAGGTGTCAACCGAAACGGTTGGCAACCGTTCAGTGACCCTATCCACTACTAGTGCATTTATATCAAAGTTAACATTACGATCTATCCGAGAATAAAATTTTAAATTTATATATCCCTGGGTAGCTTTACTAGTACCTCCGATGCCTTGGACTACAGGACATGCAAGTGACCTATTTATTACTAAGCCTAAGCGCTGACAACATTGTCGCGTTATAAAGCTATTTTGGGCTCCGCTGTCCAGCAGTGCACGGACGCTTTGTTCGTTTCCACGCGAATCCCTAACCAAAATACGCGCCGTACCCAGTAACACGGTTGAAGGAGGTTGTGCTCCCATATTCGCCAATGAGCACAGAGCGACATCACCAGGTCGACCGCTAGAATCGTTGACTTTAGTAGGGGTGAATTCCTTATCCGCTTTACTTGACGCTGCTATGTTGCTATTTTCAAAATGTAATAGCGTGTGATGTTTCCTGGCGCACTTGCTACATACGGAACTCGAATTGCATTTTGCAACTAAATGCTTATCACTTAAGCAGTTCAGACATAGGTTGTTTGTCTTTACTAAATTATAACGTTCGCTTGGTGAATATTTACGAAAAGTCGCACAATTGTATAAATTACCGTGTTTATCTTTACATACGACACAAGCGTGCTGAAGTGATGCTGACGTAGCGGTTACGTAAGTTAACGACCCTGCTATTTTAGATGGTTGAGTCTGTCTACGGTCGACGCACCTTTTAATCTCCTGTTTAACGTTCGGAGAGCGCTACATCACCTTTATTTGATCTCGCACGAACGATGCTAATGAACGAAAGGAAGGCATCTCCGAGCTACGATGCTCCATTTCAAACGCTCGCACGGTGTCGGGGTCTAATTTCTTTAGTGCAATATGGAGAAACACCACGTCCATAAGGTCATTAAATTTCAAATTCTTAAGTGCAGCCACCGATGCCACAAATTTATCTAAGAACTGCTTTAAGCCGTTGATGTTCGCGGATGATATAGGTTTAAGATCGAATAAATAAATAAATAAATATTTATTTATTTATATATCTTCAAATGCTAGAAACGGTTGGTAGTTCACTATGTACGTATTTCGGGTCGATTTGTAATTCCAAATGATTAATTTGGTCTAATATTCTTTCGTAATCTGTCCGCAAAGAATCTACCGTTTCAATTTCATTCAAAAAAGTTTCCCGCACTGCTTCTACATTGATGTTCTTTATGTGATCACTAATACTTTGTATACGTGAAAAAAGTATGTCCCTCTTGGCATAAAGCGTTTTAATTTTAATTTCATTTCCACTAACCGACATTTTAAATTATTGTAATAAAGTTATATTAATCACAATTAATCTCACAACGCACAAATAATGAAGGATGGACACTCGTATGCTGTATTACGTAATTAAATCGAACACCTGTTACAGCGAGTCGAGGTGACGCGTGTCGCTTGCTAGACTCAATATAATTTTATCAAAATTGTCGGGTACGCGTACAAAACGATTGCTATTACACTGTTTCAATTATTTAAGCGACCAGTAAGCTTTAAATTTAAACCAATTACAAACACTATTTAAATGAATAATTCTGTTTGCGAGTACCTAACCAAAATTTAAATTTAAACGAACACTATTTAAGACTATTCCATAAACTAGAGTGCATTATCTAAATAATTAATCTAATAATTCGACCAGAAAATGGTTGAACGACTACTAAACACCAGACCAAATCCTGCCGAAGTGACCATAAAATGGTGGAGCGTCGAGCCTAAGGTCGCCGAAGTCTAATTCCCCGGTCGAACCTTAAAACCTATTACGCGAGCTATTAATCTAAGTGGACTGTATCTACAAAATGTTTCTACACGTTTAAACGGCAACTATAGCATGCGGTACAATGCACTTGCTCTTCCCTAAAAAACGAACTATTATTTGCCAAATCGATGAAAGGAATCCTGCTTGATTAGGAGAAAACAAAATTGGAGCGGGTTAAAATACAATTATATCAAGCAGGCAATATTATTAGGAATATTGACTCACCGGGGTGTCTTCTATGCTGTTGGGCACTATAGCTGCGACTTCTGGAACTTCTTCTGGACAGACACTCTGGAGAGAGGCGGTGCGCGACTATATCTCACACGAGGTGAGGCGGGTTTCCGGAGCTCGACTGCTTCCAGGCTAAAGCGGTTCTACTAGCGGTGTGGTTCCAACAATGAGCGCGGCGGGAAGAGAGCGCGCGTCGGTCGCGCGTGCCTTTTATATCTTCGGTTGCGATGATTACGTGATATTCTAGAATCATCTTCTTTCCCCTCCCACCCCACCACCCCGATGTGTCGATAGGAGGGTATGAATGATATCGTTTTGGAAAGGGATAACCGATTTGGCAGCCTACCGTCAAATTAAATAAATACGAATGGTTTTCCGCGCAACCAAATAACATCAAAGAATGTAACGATATACAGATTTTACAGAGATGAATTGTTCCACTTTCTAATTGAATATTTATTTTATTTTACTGATGAAATATTTGTCGAGTTTTGAGAGAAAGTCCGGTTGACTGTATTACATGACATAATAAACCCGACGACTAACAATTTTGATCTAATAATTTATGAATAATCTAATCTAATGTAACTAATATTATTTAAGAATAATAATTTAATATATTACTATAAATAGAATAATGTAATCAATGAACTACTAATAATATTTGCCATTAGTACGCCCATGAGGCTGATCATAGACTAAATTATATTTGTATTTAATTAAGACCTTTTTGTAACCTGTGAATCACAAATAAATTATCATATGATTTGATTTGAAACAGAATATGTTCAGTAGCATCTTCCTGAAAACCACTCAAAATAATAATAAAAAACTACGTTACGTTGCCAATCCGCCAGACAAGCGTGGCAACTATGGCAAATATTCCCACTGCAATCTACGAAGTAGTAATGATGCTGATGGCTAACCTAATCAACAGCAGTAGGTCTGTGAAGCTCCAACAGAATTGTCTGTTCTTTATGATGTGAAGGAAAATAAAAAACACAATAATGTCTTCTTTGTTGGACTCGAAAAGCAGCACTTCATGCTGAGTGCTTTTCTCTCTTCTATTATTTTTTATTATTTATTGTATTGCGATTTCTTTTATTTTTTACAAAGTAGAAAACGTCTCCGCTGATTTACTGTCATTAATATTTTAATTATTATAAACTTGACTACAATCTCATCTAGTGTTGATGAAGTCCGCATGCTCATTTAACCTTCTTGTATTAAAAATAAGTGCTAGAAAGTAAATCGCGGTCTTAGCAAATAATGCTTTCAGCCTTAGTGATAGAACAAGCAGACTTTAATCGGATGGAGACAGACGCGGGCAAAAATTCCATTCCTTTACATACATTATCAAAGGGGGAGGGGGTGAAAAAAATTGAAAATGCCATATAATTTACTTGGCATAGTTTATTTTAAAACGAAATTACTACAGCGATTAAATCTACAAAGTTATTAACATTGGCAGTACAAGTCATCAAACAAATATAGGTACTTATGTACGCTGCTGCAATACTAGTTTGTCATTATTAAATAAACAACTGTTTTAAAAATACTAGCAAATTATGTGGTAGAGCCACGCCGCAGCTACATATGACTGCGGCACCACGTCAGCCACGCTCTCACACACATTACCAGCGTAAAACCGCACAACAACTATGCGTGTTCCGTATAGTTAACTATGTTGAGTATAGAGGACGGGAGACATTTTTAATAGTAACGAGGCATTCCATCTTTGTCCTCAGGGGCTGACAACGTGTCTGCATTTTGATTCTGTATAACGATGTGGACGTCTATGGGCCACAGTGTGGGTTCACTTCATCCTATATATTATATATTCTATAAAAAAAATTGTCAGTCATACGATTACACGTTAGAAGTGAAAACATCATAGTTTCACAAACTTGTAAACATTGTTTTTGGGTTGTTGAGAATTATTTTTAGGAAGTATTTTTTATTAGAAATTATTTTTATCATTTCTTCAATTCTGTTTTACATGAGAAATAATGATTACTAACTATATAATACAAACAAATTTATAAATACATTTATTAGTTTTTCATCTGTATACGCTTTTACAACAAAATCCCAGAAAATATACAAAATTTGTCATACGCAAAGTTCAAAAATGTCATTAAACTATGTTTGTATAAAAAGGGTTATTATAATATTAAGGAATTTATGAATGATAATATCCCTGAGAAGGGTGATCGCTACCAAGCTATTTCTAATTTGTCTTGTGTTGTTAACTGTAAACATGATTGTAAGCTATTATTTGAAAAAAAAAAATAGTCCCGCTGGGTTTCTTGCTGGTTCTTCCCAGAACAGAGGTTTTATTGCGAACCAGCGGTAAACGAAAAAAAAAATGACTTTCAATAAGTATTGTTTATAATCTACATTGAATAAAAAAGTTTCTGTTTCAATTTCATGTATCTGAGTTCAGTGCTATTTTCCCCATCCCAAAAGTGCCCAACGTGCTTAAGAGCTTTCACTTCTTTTGAAGTTTGCTGTTAACACTTTCAAGATTCCCGTTTAACCACTCCGGTTAAGCTTTAAATGCTTGTGCTACGGGTTAGTTCAAGAAAGCAGTCGAGTGGCGAATTTGATACTTTACATTACTCTTAAATTTCAGTCACTTTTTACATAACTACAAAATGAAAATCCGTATGGTGAGTGTGTTTCTAAATATTTACAAAACCAAACCTTCATAATCCTAAGTTGGTATGAATATCTCACAACCAATAATATAACACAAAATTTTATACTAGATACTACTGGAGCAGAATCTAATATTTAACCTTTAAATATTTAAAAAAAAATATTATAACATTATTCTCTCAATAATAATAATATCATATGAAAATACTTTAGATGACACTACCACTACTGTGTTCCAGTCTGAAGGGAAGGGAGCTAGTATAATTACAGGCTGAGGGGATTTCCATCTTAGTCCTCAGAAGTGACAACGCAGCTGTCGTCTTCTTTGTTTGAAGTAGGTTGCAGGAGTCTATTTCAGTAGTCACTCATCAGGTGAACTCTAAGTTCGATCGTCATATCAGTTTAATAGTAAAAGTATCGACGAACGTATCCTAGGAAACAATAGTAGGAACAAATGACAAATATATCGTACATATTACTAAAGCCCACCAAAATACAATTCGAATATTAAGATACCACAAACATTCTTTACTTCTATGGGCAATTTCTTAGGATATTATTAGATTTCAATTAAAGATTAAACAATGCTAAAGGTAAAAGGTGTCTATTTTTCCTAGCATTTAAAACA